CTAAGCGTCATGAGGCTTGTTATCAATATTTGGCTCTGATGTGATGTAAAATCTGCTTCTGAGATGGCATTATTATTATTATTATTATTATGATAATTGAGAAGAGCAGAGTACACAGTACTATAAGCTCATGCAGTAAATATAGTGTACGGACACGTAACACAAATACATCAAATAGAAAAAAATAAAAAAGACAGTTCCTGGCTATAAAGTTTGTACACTCCTCCAGCTATCATACTGCACTTTGAAGCTATTAACTGAAGTAGCACCAACCACACTTTCAGGGAAACTATTCCAGGTGTTGAATATGCGGTTGGGAAAAAAACCACTGTCGGACTGTTGTTTTAAATGGCTCCTTATGCAGTTTGAAGCTGTGTCCGCGTAGATTGCTGCGCGACGGACGGTATAGATGCATGAGGTTGGTGCCCATCAAACCATGAAGTATCCTGAACGTAACTATAAGATCGCCACGAAGTCTTCGCTTAGAGAATGAGGTCAGGTTGAATAATTCAAGGCGATCTTCATAGCTTGGTCTTCGTGCTCTAAAAGGGATACGAGTAGCCCGACGCTGTACTGATTCGACGAGATTTCTATCGCGCAGAAGCACAGTGTCCCATACCGGGCCAGCGAATTCAAGAATTGGCGAATGACCAATGCCTTGTAAATGTAGGCGCAAGTGTTGACATCGGATCCTTTGAAATACCTCTCCAGCATGTATAGAAGTTTCTTGGCTTTTGATGTAACGTGGTGAATATGCTCTGACCAGGAAAGACGATCGTTGACTACAACGCCCAGATCATTGTGGCTGGAAACTGCTTCGATGTTGTGGTCAGAGATCTTGTTTGTAAATCGCGGATTTGTCTTCCCGAGGTGAAGGACACAACACTTAGTTAGATTTAAGGGTAAAAGCCAACTGACTGACCATTGACAAACAATATCAAGATCTCGTTGAAGCATAGCAGAATTTACGACAGTATTGTAAATCTTGGTGTCGTCGGCATAAGCTGAACATGTGAAGAAAATCAATGCGGGCAGGTCACTTGTATACAGAAGGAACAGCACTGGCCCCAAGACAGAGCCTTGAGGAACTCCACTTGCTACATGATGAAGGTGAGACTGGCTATCACTGACGCGCACAGAGAAAGTCCTCCCGGTGAGGTCTAAGCTGTAAGTTTTATGTGTTGGTAATAATTACATTGGGTTCTTATCTCAAATACACTTAATTGAGATTCAAAGCTAGAAATTAGTTGCGCATCCACTTTTTCTTATCCATTCAGGAAATTACATATACAAACTTGCTGAATTTCAAAAATGACCAATAATGCGTAGTTTAGTTGAGTGATTCCTCCATAGATGGACGTTCACAACGATCCTAGTGAGCAAACGTGGAATGACTGTTTGCGCCCTAAAAACTACCTAGTCTGCAAGTTGACATCTTATAGGTTTTTTTTGACGTTTTAGAGGTTTTTTACATGACACCAGAGCAGGACTGAAAGATTCGACTAACGTACATTAGACTGTGGTAGTGACTAATGTGGATAGGTCCTACGACCGCCCAGACAAGCAAATGACGAACAGAAAGATCACATCCTATTAGCTGATTTCTTTAGCATCGAATACAATAATAATAAAATATTTTACGTATTAACATTTTTACATTTTATAAATAAAAAAAAATATTATACACTTGGAAATTTAACTACATAAATTTAATGTTATGCTTAAAGAGAATAAATTCTTCAAATTCAAAATGATATTTAGAATAAGTTAAAGGTGTTCTCAATAAAGAACTGAGCTTCTGACATTTCGCCTCAAATCAACTTCGAGTTTGAAACATTGTTTGACTGGAGTATTATTTTCGTAATACTACTGCTCGGCCGTCAGTGATTGAACGTCATTGATTCATCCTATCGACATATCTAGTGCCGCTCTTGCTGTTCCTATGCATGCCTGAAATGCTTGCCTCTATTCTTCATATTGGATTTATGATGGCAATCGCTGAATTAAATCTTGACGTTACAATATATTTGTTATTTGCTTGACTTCTCTGTCTCGCAGAATCAGTCTCCAGCAACTATACTCAGTGACATATAAAATGAAATCCAGAATTATTTATCGAATTTTGATAAATATTTTTGCTATCATGGAGGTATACGCTGATAAAATGTTGAAGATATTCAGAGCCGTACTTTTTTGTAAAGGGTTTTTGCCATATCAATCTCCGGAAAATATGAACACGTTTACTTAATATTCAGTGATTTTTCCGTGTTGGTTCCATGTGTTTCATTGTTGTTTCATTGCATTATCGATAATTTCACTCAACTTTCCGAGTTTCTTTTATAGAAATCGCTAATCGGGTGAATCGAAACGAAGCTACTGTAATGAGATGTTGTCGAGCGTGGTTCCAAGAAGGCCGAAATCGACGAGTTTTATGTCCTGGACGTCAAAGACCGACTACAGAGCGACATAATCGTTATTTGTGGCAACTAGCACTCAGAGTTAAATTTTCCACAACAAGGGCAGTTGAGAACCGGTGGTTTGATGCTGTGAGAAGGGCAATAACAATAGGGACAATTTATCGACCAATAAGGTTGTTTGGACTGTTTTCATACCGTCCCCATCTTGTACTATCTCTGACTACACAGCATCGTCTGCAATGATTGCTGGAGTAGGGAGAGATTTGAATGGAATATGGAACACTACTCAGTCGTGTTCAGCGATTAGTCCAGATTCTATTTGGGCACACATGATGGCCGTGCAAGAGTAAGGAGGAGACGCACAGTGTGGCGCCCAATGGACAAAATTACTCAAAAACATAATTTTTCACATTAGAATTCTGTTGCTTTTATTATACCATTGGATAGATAAATAGTCACTGCAACACATAAGTATAGTACTTTAATCAAGTTGGCTGCGATTTACCTATTTTAGCAACTTTAAAGTTAGACATGTCGAGACCTGTCAAGAAGGCGAAAAATCTCTCTGTTTTATTGCTCGGGAAAGATATAAATTTTGTGTCGAAATATTTAAACATTTTAACTTTTCCAATATGGCTGGTAATGAGGCTGGTAAGTACATTATATTGATGTATAGATTTTTTTAAAATATAATTATAATTAGATAATTTTTTAAGTTAAAGTGACTATTACCGATTTTTTATTTTTTTTAAACTTTTGACTTTGTTTAGGGTTTTACAAAAATCACCTCCCATCACCCTAAAAATTTTTTTATTTATTGTTTATCTGTCCATAGTAAGTTTTGATAAAAAGTTTAAATCACGTCATGCCACGTCTAAGGGAGATATACTTTTTTTTAGGACATGGTGCTATTGTCAGAAATAGAGATTTGATTGATGTGTAGATAGAAGCACCGAGAAGAAATAGAAAACAGGTGGTTTATGAAAAGATATTATCTCTTATTGATATTACAGATGAACCTTCCAAACATCTTAAAAGTAATATTATCAAATGCAGCCAGTTGTTTGGGTTGAAAATGGCAAATAAATGGCAGAAAGTAGGACAATCTCGGAATCGACTTTTACAAAATCAGGTATATTGGTTAGACAAGATTATATATAGAATAAATAATGATTCTGAAGAAAACACATCTTCGGATGAGGAACAAGAACCTCCTTGTCGCTCAGTTGGACGGCCACGGGTGCCATTTGAAGAGGCATCGAAGAAAACAAAACGAAGACGTGTAGCCGAACTAACCACAGACAGATGCAAATGAACTTCAATTTGCTGTAAATGTCGTTTCTGGAAGCAATCACAGTGAGGTCTCGCCACAAATTTTTAGTTTTAGTACAGCTGAAGCTTTAGCCCTTATGGTAGATTTGGATATATCCGTAAGAAAGTATTTGCTACTTAGGTCTGTTATTAATGGTAAGGCCCAGAACTGCCTTCCTAGTTATAAAGAATTACAGAAAACAAAAAATGCTATCCTCCCTTCACAATTTATTATTACTGAAATTTCTGCAGAAGTTGATTTGCAAGAACTTCTACAGAAAACAGCTGAAAGTATCCTTGAAATAATAAATTTTGAAGATAGAGATTGCCGGATTAAAGTGATATGCAAGTGGGGATCTGATGGCAGTACTGGGCATAGCCAATATAAGCAGAAATTTTCTGATTTAGAAAACACCGACGAATTTCTGTTTCTTGTAGCAATGACGCCACTCAGATTGATTGATATGGAAACGAATATGGTATTGTGGAAAAATGAGAGCCCTTCATATACTTTATATTGTAGGCCGATCAAGTTTTTATTTAAAAAGGAAAATGCTGATTTAGTGCGGAATACGGAAAAGGAAATAATAACAAAAATTGAAAATTTGATTCCTATTGAGATTAAAACAAAAGAAGGGCACTCTTATATAATTGAAGTTGATATGATGTTAACAATGTTGGACGGCAGTGTTGGAAACGTTCTATCAGAGACAAATTCAACTATAAAGTGCATCATTTGCTGAGCCACACCCAAGGACATGAACACGTTAGCAGGGATTAACCGTCCTCCTAACGTAGGCAATTACCGGTTTGGTTTGTCAACTTTACACTGCTGGATTCGTTTTTTTGAATGCTTACTCCATATTGGATACCGCCTGCCAATTAAATCTTGGCAGGTTCGTGGGCCTGAAAACAAAGCTATAGTCGAGCAAACAAAAAAACAAAAAACGAATCCAAGCAGAGTTCAGAGCCAAGCTGTCTCTAATAGTTGACAAATCAAAACCCGGGTATGGCTCCTCAAATGATGGCAATACGGCCAGAATTTTTTTCCACAATCCACAAACAAGTTCAGATATCACAGGGGTTGACAGGGAATTGATCGAGAAATCATCATCATCATCTTAGAAGTGTTAGCTAGTGGTTGCGCTATTGATATGGAAAAGTTTGCGTCATTGCTGGAAGAAGCAAGAAATTTGTATATCCACCTTTATAAGTGGTACAACATGCCAAACACGGTACATAAGGTCCTTGTTCATGGGTGTGAGATAACTGATGCATTTTGTTTGCCCATTGGAGAACTGTCGGAGGATGCGCTTGAGGCTCGCCATAAAGAGGTTAGGAAACATCGATTATCTCACACCAGAAAATGTTCAAGAACAGATACGAATAAGGATCTCATGCGTGTTCTTTTACTTACTTCTGATCCTTTTATATCCTCAAAAGAAAGGTGAGCTCAAAAAAATATAAGAAATGCAACGAGGCAGTTCAGAACTATTTAAAAAAGCAAGAAAATGATGATTTAGGTATTGACTTAGGTATAATAACGAATGACACAGCACCGAGCAAGAAATCCTATTCCGATTAGAATGGGTATATTTGGTGTTATTTTTTAATATAGTTTATATTATTATTTCATACATTACCTACTAAGTAATTGTTATTTTGTTAAATATATTTTTTTAAATAAAAACCTAAATATCAATTTCAAATTATACAGATTTATTTTTTATTTGAATTATTCTTATTATTTTTTCAAATAGATAGACAAATTTAATAAATCATATTGCGCCCGCCACAAGTTGGCTACATTATCTTTTAAATCATTCGGTAAAGATCTTGAAAAATAAAAGCGTGACTTTTTTGTCTCTCTTAAGAATGCTATAATAATATCCTACCTTATCCCAATTTATTCGAGATCATCAATTTAATATTTTGACTTTTACAAAAAAAAACGATTTATGCGAAATTCATCCCGCCTGCTCCCCCACCCCTTCTTATTATTTTAAATAATTTTTGTCATACTTTAGAAAGCTACTTAAATAAGTATCGCCCTGCGTTTACAGAATTCAAATAGGACCACTAGTTTTTAGGATATCGAATTTTGTCCCTGATCCCTATAAAGGAACACACTGTGAGACGTGGTGAACGACGGAACGTCCAGTATTCCATCGAACGGCATATTCATCGCACTGTGGGTGTTATGATATAGGGTGCCACAATTAAGGTACAGGTACACATGCTCATAAAAATGACATGCTCGTCAAACTGATACATTTTCGTTTGTGCTTGGTATGCTTGTCAGGAGCATGCTATTCTTGATCTTGCTAAAAGCAAAGACTCCGGACACATATGCTATTTAATAGCAAGCTCTCCGACAGTGTTCCATTACAAAAATGGAAAACCAAGTAACTCTCTCCACATAAGTGAATAGTCATCTTTTTTATTGCAATAGATTCATATTCGTTAACATATCTTCATACGCACTGTTTCTCAAAATATTGCTTTTATACTGCGGTACTTTGGGTTGCACAGACATTCATAATTTCGATATAGAATGACAAACTTCAACGTCTTGTAGTCATCCCAACGTGTCATTTTTGGAACACACACAGGCACCTGCTGCGAACAACTGTTGCTCAATAATAGCATGCTTAATAAGCAGACCTGTTCACACGCGCTAAAAGCACACCCCGCGCTGCAGGTAGCATGCTCAAAAATCGCACGACGGTCGATTTAAGCAAGGCTAAACAAATGGGTGGTACATTGGAAAAATATGTGTAGACATAAAAATATATAGTTAAGTCATTCACAAAAGCATCGCAGATCGCTCAAGTAGTAGGAACTCTCCAAATATTGCTAAAATATATAAATATTTCTCCTGTAGTGGTGCGTCAGTGACGACACCACCGCAGACCCATCGCACAGTCGGCAGTGACCTCCACGACGATGCAGCATCGCGCCGTGCACGCAACGCCAACGATTGCAAAGTTATTTAGTTATAATTGTGAGCACATTATACCTACATCGGATTTAATCTTACCGTTGTTACCGGAATCAGAAGCTTCTTAATGATAGAACGTCTTTGACTAGTACTAAAGTCGTTACTTTTGCAACCCCCAAGTTTCAACCCCTACAAAAAAAAACCCGAAAATCATCAGGAGCCTGTAACACTTTGGCATAAAAAGTTAAAATGTAACTGTTAGACAAATACTTAAAAAAAGGATTGTCATATTTTGAATCAAATACAAAAAGATCAATGTTTAAATACCGATAATAAAGTAGCTCCTAATATCAGACATACAGCAAGCAAAATCAACAAGAGTAATTCTATTTGACACATTTTTTATAATCCTTACGTGTCTCAGAACTGCGGTGTCAAATGCAGAAAATCAGTCTGCTGGATTGAGGTATCATTGAAATAGGAAAATTATAACAAAATTGAAACCTTACTTTAATATCCATAAATACAGTTAATTTTAATCATCTTAAGAATCCTAAAAAGAAAATGGTCTAGGATAATGCGTTTGCCGCTGCTGGTGCGACGAATTAGGCCTTTGGTGTTGCTGGTGTTGTGGCCTGTATTCTCCAGTGTCCAAAGTCCCTTGCTTTTGTGCCTGCGCGATCAACTCCAGCGCTCTCTGGATGGCCTCCGGAATGGGAGGCGGAGTAGGTAGATGAGCTCCTTCAGCTCTGAAGCCCAGTTCGTCTGCGATGTAGGTGACTGTTATTGGAGTACCATCTGGTGCGGTATACGAGTACGAGCCCTGGATTACTTCGGCTTCGTTGTCTTTCACGCCCGGATTCTTCAAGTAGCCTTGAGCCTGGACCTGCTGGCCATCACCTGTTGCATAGCTGCAAGGAAAAAGAATTATCTTCAACAATTTACTGAAGATCAAAGTTGATGCCCCACTGATTTGGAATGCTCCCCTAACTTTACGTCTACCAGACTTGACTTTGTCAAAAAATGACCCCAAAAGTTCTCATCAATATCTCATAATCAAAAGTAAACCTGAATAGGTGCTGACCATGTGTTTGAAATTTTTGTCTTCTGTAATTGTATTTCCATAGGTTAGCTAAAAGTTCTGTGGTAAGAATAGTGCCATTCTGTCGGTCTGGCTCGAAAAGGAAATGAAAAAGTACAACGGAGTTACAAGAAAAAATAATAAAAGCCTCCAACATCTCCGATCGTTGTTTTTGTCATTTTTGAATTCACCGTATTGCTTTTGGAGGTAGTCAAATTAATTTATTAATGTATCAATTTTTAACAATTACCGAATTATAAAATTTCTAGATTCTTGTCGTCCATACCTTAGAGTGCAGCCGTTAAATGTTCAAACGCTCACAAATGTTTAGGATACTTTTTCTCACTTTTAATTTCTCTGTCAATTTCGAACATGTTTAGTGCCATTTGCAAGATTTTTGTGTATATCAACTTTTAAAACTCATATCATTTCGTGAAAACGTATTTGAAGAAGTGCGGAATTCATAGAAGGGTACCGGGGAATAACGACAGTAGTCCATGTGGACTGGTTTTGAGAAAATCGGTAATTAAGGTTTACTTACTTGTTGGAAAGTAAAATTGATGAAAAAATAAGTCGTAAAGAATATCTTTGCTAAGCAGTGTGTTTATTAGTAAAATAGATTTATTTTACAAAATGAACTTTTACTCAAAACTAGTAACATAACAAACAAAAGATGATGCTAAACTCTGGACTCGTGTGTGCTCTTTGGTTCAGGAGACTCATATCTCTATCACACTCGAGGTATGAATGCCTCCTGATCGGGAATATTACTTTCACAGTAGTAAAACGATTTTTCTTGGTAACCAAGTAATGCAAAAATCGAATAGCTGTAAAAGTTTTTATTTTGCCATGCACAAGATTCACAGGTATATGGCAAGTTCTTTCACTTCCATAGGCGGGATGTTATAAAATGATATAGCATAGAACAGACATCGTCACCTCCTTTCTTAGCAATAGATTCAGCGTAGGTATAAAAGATAGAATTTGTGTTTGACAGAATGTGGATGTTAAAACTGATGAAATTTAGTTGCCGCTTATAGTAAACATCATTTGACGTAATATTTGGACAGGGCAAGTTTTTTTGATAATCCATCGTGATACTTTCGATAGCGGGGAACGTTTGCGGTAAGTTCTCTTTAGACTATAAAATCGCTCACTCCTTTTTTGATGTAGTGTCTTCTCAAGTATCTTTTTCTTCAAATTATTACTTGCTGACTGCCTAGTTTGTTCCATGTGGGAATTTAAGGTAGCGGTAATCGAAAGATAGAGGTCATTTGAACCGCATTTGAAGCATTTTAGTTTTTAGTAACCGTGTATACGGATATCATGTTACAAGAATGGGTCAGCCGGGAACGTGAGCCCCACTATCCCTATAATACGATTTTTGGGTCACTGATTCCGAATCTGGGACCCTCTCAGTCTGGACCTGCTCCGTTTTCGAAATACTGTCAAGAATCCTATTTATCCAAAAACGGGCAAAGGAAATTTTTCAAAAACCGTTGCGCGTCTATGTCTGAGAGCTTGCTTTGTAGGTAAAATCGGATGCGTAGGTTCCAAATTTGATGTAAAATTCACCATATCAAATTATCTGAATGATTATATAATCATTCTGGACAACAAATTTTAGTTTTTTAATTGTATCTTGTGGGAAAAGTGCACTTCTTTGTTAATTTTGGGGCGCTGAATCCAAAAATGACAATGAAATAAAAAAAATTAGTTGCGGTTTAGAAAAAAACTTTTTATTTTTAAGGATATATTAAAGAAAGAAACAAGATTCATATACTTATAAGAATCACTATATGCGCTGTCTTTCTGCTGTTCTTTTATGGATCGTTTCTGGAGCATCTCTACCAAGAGTCCAACAGTAGTCTGCAAGCATGGAAGGATTCCACTTTCCCTGGTACCTTTTTTCCATTGTTGAAGTATCCTGATGAAACCGTTCGCCGTGCTCATCACTTACGGCTCCGCAATTGTCAGAAAAAAAGTCCAGGTGTGAGTGTAGGAAATGTATCTTAAGAGACATATTACAGCCCATCTTTTGATACGATGACAGTATATTTTTGACAAGGGTTTTATAGTTGTCAGCTTTTCTATTTCGCAAGAAATTAGTGACCACCAGACGGAAATCATTCCAAGCAGTTTTTTCAATACCTGTTAAAGTGTTTTCAAACTGTGTATCTTTCAAAATATTTCGAATCTGTGGCTAAACAAAAATACCTTCTTTAACCTTTGCCTCACTTAGTCTTGGAAATTTCTGACGCAGGTATTGAAAAGCTGACCCATCTCTATCTAATGCCTTGACAAAGTTTTTCATTAGGCCCAACTTGATATGCAGTGGTGGTAATAAAATTTTTTTCGAATCTACTAATGGCATATGCTGTACATTTTTTTGACCTGGCTCTAGGAATTGACGAACAGGCCAGTT